TTGATTCTCCTAAAGTTGTTGAGATAACGATTTGTTGTTATCATTTTAAGTTGACTCGGTAAGTGAAAGAAAACTCTACATTGCCCTCAGTTTGGAATCCTGTTATCGGCTTGTGACCAAATACTACCAAAGAAGTAGTTACTTTAAGTCACTTCTGCCTCCCCCGTACACCGATTTGTAATGTTGGGATATCAACATTTTCAAGCCAGCAATACGGCTGTACGGTTATTTTCTGTTGAACTTCGGTGGTCCAGAGAAATGTTTATATTACAGTGTCAAAAGATACAGTCAGGACGATACCTATCGTTAAAGACGCCAGTTGGTTTGATGTACATACGGGAAAACTCGTTCAAAGAGATACGTGTCATGTTCGTTTCGAGTGTCACATGTTCTGGGAACGCCAGCTCGCTGCCTGTCATAAAGAGACTCGTCGCCGCCTCGCGTCGTTCCACCCTCTCTGTAATCGTAAAACGGCCACCCTCCCCGCCCCGCTCGTTTTAACGAGGGTGCGCGGCTGTGGGGGGTGCTGCATTGTTGTCGGCGAAATCACTTAAGATGTAGTTCACCTGAAGCACGGCAGTAAATTGTGGTCATAACGCTCCTGGGAAATCAAGAAAAACCCCGACGGCCGCTCTTTCGAACTCTAACCTTTCTTTTAAGGGGGAGGCGGAAACGACCGCCGCCGCGCGTGATCGATAAACGCGATTTACTAACCGGAGGTGGTGGTTCTTTTGGACCGTTTAAACATGTACTTCGAACTAGCGGGCTCGGTGTAATCGAATCATCGTTAGGGCCGGGGGAAGCCGACTTCAAATTTAATTAATACGAAACGGCGAAACGTCCCCGTCTTATCTACGGCGCGCACCCCCGTTACATTGGGGTGAGGGGCTCGGGATGTCGTCGTAGTCGCCGAAATTGGTTATTTATTGCGGGGTCCGCGCCGGCCCCAGCTACGGCATAAATTTTATTTGCCTCCCCCCGTTCGTTGTGGCTTTGCCCGCGAAAGGGTTAACTCGGATACAGGCCCGGCCCCTAGATTTGGGCTTATGTAATAGCGACAGATTTCTGGTTGCGTTAGTCCTTTTTGATGGTACTAGTATAAGAATTGGGTTCTGACCTTTCTTTCTATGTCATTGGTAATTTTTAGGTTCTTTTCGTACGCTGTTCTATGCGCCTTATATCCAAATAAGAAGTGCTCTCAGTTAACCAAAGCTATATTCGTTTATTTGCAACATTAATAATAATTATTATTTAGAAAAAAGTCCACGTCTCTTCTCGGGTTTGAACCACTATGCTGCGTATAACATGTATATTGCCGTAGTACGAGCTGGATATGAAAGAAACAAAGTAGAGTAACGATATAATCCCCCTTAACTTCAATACACTTATTACATCTCTCTATTAACACCTCAATCCCTTTAAAAAAATATTCTTCTGGTTTGTCTACCAAATGAGTTAAAACAGCCTCTTTTAATTCAAATTCGTCGTTAAACCGCCGTCCACGTAAGCTCTTTTTCAAATATCCAAACAAATAATAGTCGCTGGGGGCCATATAGGGCTGATGACCTATCTGTTGGAACCCACACTCTAAAATGGCAGCTTGTGCAACACCAGCAGTATTAACAGGCGCATTGTCGTGCAAAAGACGCACGCCTCTGGTCAGTTTTCTTCTACGTTTTACACGTACGCAGTCTCGCAGTTTATGTAATAATGTTGCGTAATATTTACCAATCTATCAAAAGAATTCCTTCGCAATCCCAAAAGATCGTAGCCATCACCTTTTTTGTTGACTGCAAGCCTCTGAATTTTCTTGGACGTGCTTCACCCTTACGACGGGACTCCATTGATTCTTTTTTCGATAGAGGGTCATAATAGAGAACCATAGTTTCTCCCGTCACAATAGTTTTTATTACAGGCTTCGGTTCTGACCCGCAGAGTTCCAAAAAAGACCGCGCACTGTCGACACGGCGTTGTTTTTGAATAGCCGAAAGATTTCATACATACATCAATGATCGTGCAGGATTCGACAAACAATTGTATCAGAAAGCTTAGTTATTTCTGAGATTTCCTTGACCTTTAAACGTTGATCACTCAATAGGTGGTATCGCAATAATATTTTCCGTTATGACCTCCACTGGTCGACCAGTTCTTGAATCATCTTCAAGGGACTCCTGCCCCATTCGAAAACGTTTTGAACATGCTTTCACTACAGGATACGAAGGAGAACTTTGGCCGTACACACCATCCAGCCTTCCTTTAATAATTTTAGGTGCTAACCTTTCTTTTGTCAAAAACTTCATGACTGCTTTATACTCAATTTGCGTTATTTGCGACATTTTTTTCGGACACGTCTTGTTTAAAATGCTGTCAATAAAAAACTGTTTGACGCAAGACTTCAATTTTTTTTGCAGTTTTATCGTGATACCTAAGCGGCATCTATGTCAGGCCGGGAAATTTTGGCGCTAACCTCGTAACCTACGCCAAATTGTCCGTTGCTAATGTACCTGGAATGAAAGCAGACGAATCTATACACCACCATGTTTTCGTTTTCTCTCGACACAAATATGATTGAATGCTTTCGATACCGTGAGAAGGAATATTAATAAAACGGTGTCTTTAAAACCGTATACGGATAGAGCGACACACGGACAAATTCCGATATTTTTATCGATATGTACGCGGTCCACCGTACAACCCATCGCTTTTAACGTGCACGACGACAATGTGGACGATATTTGCGAAATAAAAGGACGTCCCCGCTCCCCGGCCCGGATCCCCCGCATTGACAAAGACGGACCCGGCGTTACGGTGAAAAAAATTATGGAAACTGACAAAATAACGGACGTTTCAATAAAGAACCCGCGGCCTTTGAAGGTCCGGACGCGGGATTGAGCTCTTTTATGGTACGGGCGTGAAACTTTTATTCGGAGTATCGCCTCGTTATACCGAATCCGTATCGAAGCGCGTATTTTTTTCTCTCGTTCGTCTCTTTACATCGAATCCAGGCAGGTCGCATCGGATGAGCGTCGAGCGGACTCGCCCCCGCCGTCCCCCAGGCTTTCGATTACGCACGATCGGGTCACCGCAGTTAACAATGGCCTTTGTGCACACACGCGGGACGGCATGGGGGGAATTTACGAGTGTCGCGCCGTATTTGCGGACGTGCGAATAATTAGCTGATGGGAGCTAATTTAATTAGTACTGTAAGTGTAATAATTCAACGCGCCGGTGGCGGCGATTGCGTTCGATACCCGATCGCCCTGTCGGGGGCGGGTCACCGTCCAGCGCGCTAATTAGCGGAATAACATCAAACGTTACCAAATCAATCCTGCACGAATTGCGCAGGGCTCTCCCAACTCATTCGGTATATACGGGGTACTATTTAGGTACGCTACCGAATTTCGAGAGAATTGGGCGTGTTCTCCCGGAATCCGAGGGAACCGAGACGTTTCGACCCCTAAGTTACGGACGACAACGTTTTAATAAAACGCGTTCTTCAAAGGATAAAAACGACCGGTCCCTACGTGCGGAGAATTGAGGCGGTGATTACACGGCGTCGTTTGTAAAACAATCCGCGTCCGCCATTTATGTTGTAGTGAAACTTTACGGTCGATCGTTATACGCCGACTATTTCCGCGCCCGTTTTTGTTTCGTCTCTTCGCTTCGTCTTTCGTCAAAGAGACGCGAGCGCATCCGGTTTTCCGAGAGGGACGAACGGGTATAAAATATAAAAACAAGGATGAACGCGTCGAGATCGTCTGGCCTAGGGCCGACGTTGAACAATGAACGAGTTTTGATGCCGGATAAAGGAACCCTATTAATATTCCCGACATCAGGTAATAAGGCCCCTCTCATAATAGTCCATCTCCCCCGTATTAATGTTTAGCAATTCGGGCGTCGACATTCCGCTTTCCCCTTTATTAATCGGGAATTTCGGGATATTTATTGCGGGCATTTGTCCCGCGACCCCGTTTCCAGGACGCGGCCGCCGCATCCCCCGCGTCATTGTTGTCTGGGGCGGGGGAGGGGATTGATGTCCCCGGCAATTGTTGTTAACTAAACTGGGAGATTTGAGTATGGCGTTTAGTTTCGCTTAACGGGACGACACTGGTCGATATCAAGAGGCGCCGCCCAATCGTCGCGGCCGCCCACCAGCGTGGTCACGTCCAAAATCTGCGTGATATCTGATATCACATAAATATTCATCTAATATCATATAAATATTCGAAAGGATGAATTGTCTTGAAATGCTATTTTAGGATTTGCTCTAGTAGAGTCTATACGCAACTGTTACGCCCTCCATAGTAAGTATTTCCAATTATAGACTGACCAAATGCTTCGGGATTAGTGTGTATATATTTTTAACCAATGAAACGCCTAAGTTTCGTCGCTCAAACAGAGATGCTTTTTACATTTTTAAACAAAAATTAACCAATAGCCTGTGCGCGCGTTTTCAACGAATATTGGACGCGTGATGGAAGAGCCGGCGGGTAATTCGCGTGAAATTAAAAAATTCCAATTAAAGATCACAAACATGGCGGTAATATTTTCCGGCTAGTAAACACCGCGAGGCTGGGAAAAAGCCCGGATCCGGTTTCCCTATTAAAAGTTTTTAATTCCCCTTTCGTAGCGTCGTAGCTAAACAAGTTCCGACGAAGAATATTATATCCGCCGGTACTTTATTCGTGCGTCGCGAAACGTCGCGTCGATTGTTCGGATTCGCAGAAACGCTCCGGGGGCGGGGGGGGGGGGGGGGCAGGCTCGGTTTTAATTAATCCGTTGTTTGTTTGGTGTAACTGTTTATTTTGCGATATCGGCCCCGCGCTGAATTTGTTTCGTTATAAATAAATAACGAGCGATGCGTTAACATAACATTTTCGATAATGACGACGGGGAGTCGCGCTCAGGAAAACAACACGCGTTAAATAACTCGTACGTATATTAACAAACGAAATGTTCAACAGATCACAATTTTACATCTCATATAATATACAGGGAGTAATGATAGTAATACCGTATATCACAGCAATTTACAGTTAATTTAGTGTACACATATGTATGTAACGAGTGTCCCAGTAAGGCTAACTGATATACCGAATCAAACAATTGGCATCTTGATTTTTAATCTCGTTTTCTTCAATATTTATAACATTAGTCGCGAATTTTGTATTGTTGCACTCTTATTTGACTATGCAAGGACGTAAAAAAAAGCAATAAGTGGATTTGAAACGAGTTTAAAAAATAAAAATGGCAATAATTTCCGCATTTTTCTCTCGACCAGCTTATAATTTTTATCAATTCACCCCGTCGTCCTTATTGCGACACCCGGTATGTATCTCGAAAGTCCCGCGTTCACAACTCGACGCGTCACGATCAACATCTATTTATAATTCACGATATGGGTGGACGATTTGTCGCTCTACTTCCGTTCACCGAATACTTCTCGTAAATAAAATATCCGAAGGGCGAAACAACAAATATATCAACCCGCGGAGGGAGCGAGGGGATTAACGATTAACATATATGCGAGATAAAAACGACCGACGCGCCAACAAAATTGCACCATTTAAAATACGCACGACAACGTAGTCTGCGTATTAGACAAATCGACGCACTAAATTTCCGCCGAATTTATCGTCCTTTTTCGGCGAGCGTATCGCGTTCCGCTCGGTTTCCCGGCCGCAATAGCACTCCAGCATTATTTACACACGATTTTAGAACACCACATCGCCGATTTCGAACTCTTCGCGTCATACCGCACTGCCCGAGTAGTTCAGCGCGTTATTGGTCCGTTTGGCGGTACCATAACCCTCGAAGCTAGTCTCCGGTACTTGAAAACTTTCGATTTTCACACATTTCTTGGCCCCGCCGCTTCGACCCTGTTTCTGGTACTGTAGCGTTTTGCTCTTGCCGCAGTACCCGCTCGAACTGTTGGAACTCGAACTGCCCACCTCGGACACACCGAGGAAACCCTGGTGCAAGGTGGTACCTGCGTGCGGCATGGTGCCGTACTTGCTGACGGGGGCGTTGGAAAAACTCAACGAGGTGTGGTTTTTGATAGTGATTGGAATAGTCTGGCCGGCCAGCGAGTGGGCGGAGCAGAATGCGCCTTCGGGCGCTGAAGCTCCTCTCAAGTCGGCCGCCGCTGCAAATTCCAAACAGGTATTGGTGGTACAGACGTCGGGAGGAGTTTTGTTGAGCAGGGGACCGCACTCAGTAGCTTCGTACTTGTCGAGGGGGAGGTGACCGACTTGGAGAGGATCGTACTGGTGTCGCGGTGACGGGTTCGAACGGCGCACCAGGTACTCGGTGGAGAGACGCTGATGTTCGCGCATTTTGCGTTCCGCTCCGGGTACCATTTCTCGCACCTGAAAGCGAATTGTAGATTAGCGTCGCCATTAATTGATTCTCGTTGTCAAAGAGATAACGATCCGGTTCCGCTTCATTTAACTAATACTTCGAAAGCGATTTAATTTCGCGCGAAACGGCCCCGATTTTAAACCCGAACGCGCGCGAAGGTGTTATGGCAAATAATTTCGAAATTAATTTTCAAAGTTAGCTAATTAGCTATGCGGGGAATGCTCTTTGTTTACGCTGAAACTGGCGCGGCCTGTTACCCCGTTTAATCGTTAACAACTTCGCCACTGTTCGCGCTGTCGAGAACGTCTTCCTCTCGAATCGTTTCCGATCCCTTATGGTTTAAGCTCTTAGTCGAAGTATTTTCCTGTACCCTAATAAGACAGTGATGGCGGTGAACTGGATTTTCTAACATTTCGCTGTTCTAATACGACCAAAAATATAGCGCATTTACTGCTTTCACGTTTTAAGTATATTACGGTTCAATAACCGCAGACCGTGGTCCAATCCCAATAGGTACTTATTCTGCATTAAGTAGATCTGGCCTGAGATGGATCGTAACGAATATTTGTGGGAACTTGAAATTTTTATTTGAAACGTAAATGGTCCGTTTTAAATTTGATTTAGCATTGATGCTAAGGGGTATTTTCCGTTAAGAATGAGCGTTTATTTCAACATAGGGTGATATGTATCTTAAGAGTTTAATCTAATAGATATTCATTCCAATTAAACATTTTTTGAAGGCGTCAGGGATTCAGAAATGATTGGGTGAAAATGCCTTTCTTTTGTCTGCCAAAAACGTCAAAGATTCATGTCCGCGGAAATATTTGACGACTGGTTTGAAAATAAACTGTTCCCAAAACTATCGCAAATACTGTTGTGTTGGACAATGCCAAATATCATTCAGCGCAAATTAGAAAAATTCCAAATATTTCTTTAAATAAAGAAAAAATTAAAGAATTCCTGTACGAAAATGATTTATATTTGAAGAGCTACACGAAAAGACAACTTCTAGAATAATTAAAAATAAAACATTTAAAATTAAATACTACACAATCGATTCGATAGCACAACAAAATGAACATGAAATCTTGAGATTACCCTCGTATCATTGTATATTTAACCCGATTGAGATGACTTGGTCTGAGTTGAAAGCGCATATAAGGAGAAATAAAACAGCAGCAAAATTTAGTGATTATACCATAAACGTAATTCGGCAAAAGGTAACTAAAATATCAGTACAAAGTTGCTCTAACTCTAAAAAACGAGTAATAAAAGAAGAAAATATTTATCGAGAAAGATTAGTGGCGGAGTTGAACTAGATGGCGACTGATACTTCATTCATAGTATGTAAAAATTTAATGAAATAAAAAGTAATAAATTGTTACTTCGTATTAATTTTTGTATGTACATGTTTCAAGAATTGCTCAGCGAAAATGATTGAAAACATACTTACATCCCGCTTCTTAGTGTGGGTAGATAAATTCCTAGGAATGGTTGCGTGTCAAGAGTCTGCTAGCCAGGGTTTTCTATAAGGGGCTGCGGTTTTGAAATAATAAACAGTAAAAGCACTATATTTCTGGTTGAAGTATAACACTAGAATGAATTGTATTTAACACGAAATTAAAAGGTTCGTTGTTACTCCGTTAAACTGCAAACAACAGTCCTTTCGTCCGATATGATCACGGTGGACAGGACAAGATTGACGATAGCAATTGGGGCATTGTTATATAACTACAGCTTACAGGATTTACCTAGCACTTACGGGAGCATAAGCACTGATGCGTCGATGAAATGAAAAACAAACAGTGAAACCGTTACGTATCGAATAAAGCAAACGGGATTGCGTGAGTGCAATGTCGATTATTTAAATGGAAATATAATCCACAAATATCAATCGACACCCTGAAATGTGCAAAGGCGACTGCTAGTATTACCGCATTCCCTGGCACTATCGAATGCGAAATTACGTTATAACGAGAAAATCTGAAAAAACCGCCGTCGAAATAAAATATGCCATCGAACTTTGTAATTCCGTTCCTCCGATGCGGCATCGAATCCGCCGCGTCGCAGTCGCAAACGGTATTAGGTTAAATGAACTCGAAACCCACGTCCCGCCATGGCGCGCGACTTAATAACGTCAAAAAGAATGAGAAAACTATCAATCATGCCGCAACGGGACGTAATAAATCTGACAGGTTAATCCCGGGGATTGTTCGACGTTCGGTCCTCCTTCTTCACCCCTCCCCCGGGGTCTTTAATCTAATCGTCGAAAGCATATATCTCGGGGGAGCTTCCCATTCGAGGACCGTTGTTCGCCCTTATCTTGTCGCAATTTTTAACGCCGCAGAAAAAGGTGTCGGAACGTCGGCGTCGGGTCTTCTATTATGTTCATTCGATAGACCACCGTATCCCTATCCGAAATCTCAGACATCGCATAAGTGGCGACGTGTGCCTAATGGTTGTTATTTTCTTAAAAGCGTTACGAAATATTACACCAACAAAAACTTTTGAAATTCAACGGAATTCCTGATTTCCTTGACGTCACGCGTCTAATCCGGAAGTTCTAGCTTTCATGTTTTCCGGACGCGACGTCAGAGGGCGGATCGACCGCGGGCGGTGTCCCCTTTTACTCGCAAGTCGAAGAAAATTTTAAATGAAAAAAGTTTGAGAGGAGATTATTTTGCGCAGAGCGCGCTTGTAAATTTAATGACGATAATGCTTAAATGCTAAAGTTTCGGAAAACTCGGAACCCGGGGGACGAATTCGAATGGAGATTTGCGAAGACATTAACAAGGTTAAACCTATTTGCTATGAAATTTATTTAACGATAATGGAAACGAAGGGGAGGCAGTTTTTAAAAGTTTATAAAGGGAACGCGGAGATAATATTACGTAGCGAGCTGTTGAATCTGTCCAATTAAAATTGAATGTGAGATGGGGATATCCAAAACATCGAGCTTTGAGTAAAACTGGAAGCTACAACGTAGGCTTTGTGTTTCTGAAGTGAAGTTTATAAACATTACATCACAATCTTGTTGGTCGTTGTAGCTAACATTGAGATAACCGTAAACATTTCGGAAATCGTATGTCCATCGGTAACTTAATATAAATTAAAGAACATCCGTTAGATTCAATAACTCGCAGATCTGTGAGAGCGGGAGTGAGAGGGAAAATTCGTAAACTTGGCGGATTACACGCGATCACGGGTGCCCTACATCATCATATCGGGCCAACTTTCGTCGAATTCGGCGTAAATTATGAACGGGGAAACAAGAAGCTCGGCTGGGAAATTATTGTTCGAGCACGTTTAATACAGCGCCGGGAAAAGTTCACGAACCGCGCGAACTTTGATAATTGCCCTACAAAAAGGAAAACTTCCCCGTTTGTGGATTGACGTACGCCAAGACTCACCATCTCGTCGACTGACGAATATCGATGGAGGTAACCAACGAATACCAGGGCGGACGCGACATTGGATAACACTAGTGCCGCCCCCGCTGTGAAGAAACACCAACCGTAACGGTAGTCGTATACGGGCCCCGACGAAGGATCCTTGTGGTACTCGTAGATTTCAGCTAGAGTCTCGGATAGAGCGGACGTGAACGTGACTAGGCCTGCTGCCAGAGATAAACCTGAAAGAATGGAATAAATTCTATATGTTAAAACTGTTAATTTGGACTTCTATTGTAGTTATTTGAATTATATTGCGACGCTGTTTGCTTTCCTCAATGAACGCTGTTTCCTTGACCTCTCCTGTATGAATACTGCTTCCTTCTCTTGTACCAATGCTATTAGTATTTGTGTATTATTTATGCCTGTCAACGTCCTCATATTCTCCCTTGAAATGTTTTGTTGTTGTAGTCGACAAATCTCATATATCATTAGTTGTATGTATTCACAAATATTTGAGATTCGTGCCACCTCTCCCCCTCTCAGAACCCCATCCCTCGTAAAAATCGCATTTTATCGGATGCAACGGGCGGATGTTTCGATACCGGAGGCGAAGTTTGCTTTGTCTTCCGACGGCTTTGCGTTAAGCCCTCGACATCTACAACAAATTAGTTTTGGAACCGGAGCTCTCGGGCCGCGTCGACGAGAGAAGGGGCGAACGAAGTAGAGGCTCTCCTTTTCGGAGAGTCTTCGGCTCGACAATCCGCCAAACAAAGAAATCACGCGGAATCAAAAGGCCGAGAGGGGTCGAACTCGACCTTTTGTTGTTCGAACAAAGAAGACGCGCGTCTAATTAATTATTTAAAAGGGGATCGGCGGGTGGGTTAGGGGTTGACGGGGGGTGGATCTCTACGCTAATTGCCGCGAAACTATTCCGGAAAGTCTTATTATTTAATGTCGTCGATACTTCCTGCGCCACGCTTCAAAGTCCTGGCCGGGGTAGGGTCGTCTCCTCGAAAGGTGCTTAACGTCAGAAAGTTTTGACGAGCCCGCCATTAAAGGGGGACTGTTCGGGGGATCTTTTCGCCGTATCGGGGACCTCGTTTTCACGAATTGGGGACGGGCTCCTTGTTATATGTATATCATTATTGCAACGTTTTTCCGAACATTTCAATTATAAAATTGGCATATTTAAAAAAAAAGAAAAATGTATATAAGGAACACTCAGTAAAGCAGCGAACAGGGCGTAACGGATGTCTAGGTGTGTGCAAATGTATGCCCTAGCTCGACGACAACCAAAGTAAATTATATCGTTACTAAATCTCAATACTAATAATAAAAAAAAGGAATCTCAACGACGCGACGGTCAAACCGAAAATTAGAGTGATATAGTGAAATAAAACAAAAATAGATTACCGTTACACGGGTTCTAATTTTCCACTCATCTTGGACGTTAATATTGCGGAGCCTACATCCGATTAATGGAGAAACCGGTCCGATGTTTGGTGGCTTAACAAAGAGAAATCATTTGACTTCGATCTAAAATACGCAAGTAACAGAAATAAATGCCAAAGATACCGAATTACGGCATGCTCTGAACAAAATGGACGAAAGGGAAGAAAAAAAACGTACCGTTGTCGGCCGAATATCCCCTTACGGGAGGTTGTAGTGCCGAAAGGAAAGGTAAAGCAAACCCAAAACGCAAGATAAGGCACAACGACTAAATTAAAACCAGCACACAGGTGCCAAATCCCTAAAATAGGTAAAATTTCCACAAAATTACGAACCTCTTGCTTGGAGAACCCCGACCAACGGAAAAGTGAAGCCGGGAAAACGCGCGATTTGCGTAGTTAGACCAAAGAACAAAATAGATAGGGTTGGGTTCTTCTAACGAATCAACATGGATAATAGAGACTATGTAATTGGAAAATTTTACAATAAATTGATGTATGTGGGTAGCAATCGTCGAGATTTTCTACATATAATTTTACGAAGGCTAGTAGATACTGGAATTTTTCTCAGCCGAGGTATCGATAGTGCGAATAAAATTGATAGTCAATGTATGGCTCAACCCTAGAGGTAACCAAAGTATCCTATCGGGTGGTACCATCGATCGCTGAATAGTTGCGCACCTTGCCGTGTGGATCGAATGTAATTATTAGTAAAAAAAGGAATGCGAAGAAATATTAAATTATGAGCTGCTAATAAATGGCATGAAGACAGTGACGGTATTTAGGGAGCGAAATAAAACTCTTCCGATCATGCAAAAGTGCCAAACTTAACGCGCTTTACTGGTTGCCTACTAGACGTAGCGGTAACCAACGAAGAAGATCGCATACCGGCTGATTGACGTATGAATAAATAACCTCTCGGTCAGATCAATGTTATTCAACATTATTTTCTTCGCAAAGATTGACTTTAAAACAAACAGCCGTATGTAAGTAAGCAATTGTGATTTTGACTGCCAGTGAAGTTTCAAGAATAATTGCTGATTCTACCGTATTTCATTACAGCTCGAACAACAGCCAAACAATAATAACGTGAAAGGAGTCTTTCCGATATCCTGCCGCTATACCATTACATAGAGGAAGGAATGTAAAATCACTAGCAAAAAGTAGTATCTGTAAGCAACGACCGATTTATCTTCCCAGAGAGAGAGAAGAAAGCCATCAGACACATAAAGTAAGATGAATTTGAAGAAAAGTACCAAACGCACTAGAATGGAGATTGGGTGTGGCGCCTGCGCGGCAAGTGCAGGGAACATTCGTTGGGCGTTTTCGCCTTTTTAAGGGTGTCCTTTTTAGAATGTCGAGGTGCTCGGGGCCCTCTTGCTCCGTCGTTTATATTCCTTTCGGTGCGGCATCCGGTAATAACCCGGAACCCCGGAAAAAGCCGCTGGTAATCCCTTTATCTCTGGCCCTACAAAGCTGGCCTAAGCCCTCGCGCTGGGGGCGGCGTCGCGACTTCGCCGCCGCGGAGGTTATTAAACGGCCGGCCGTTTATTTACTAAACCAGCCGTCACCTCCTTAATTTGGTCCGCTCCGTACGGTTAAATAAACGAGCAATTTGTCAAGCGTCGCGTCGCAAATCCCGAAAAATTGTCGGCGGCCTGCGGGAGCGGGAAAAATTTTCGGCTCGGGGGCGGGGCGGGAGGCAATTAATTCGAAAGGCCGGAAAAAGAAAACTTACCGCCGAGGATGAAGAATCCGCTGGCGACGACCGTCTTGCTGTCGTTGTTGCAATGGCCCAGGAGGCCGAAGAAAACTGCGGCGACGAGGAGGACGACGGCGACGCTGCACAGGACCGTGCAAGACCTGAAACCGGGATAAAAGGAGAATCAACGCGAACGTACCATTCTTACTGTACACAGTGTTTGGTAATTAATTTCATGTATTCATGTAATTCATCCCATTTCGCTAAAGTTTACCTTGAGAAAGTTAATAAAACTTTGATTAGTATTAAAAGTAATGCTCATGGCTCAGACAATATTGATATAAAAATGATTCTTCTGACTACTACGTATTTAGTGGATCCTTGTTAACAAGTGTCTGCTGACCGGGGTTTTTCCGGATTCTTGGAAGCAAAGAAAGAGTGTCCAAGTAGCATTAACGATTTTAGACCAACCAGTTTGTTGCCAACCATCTCAAAGATTAATGAAAAAATTGTAGCTAAACAACTTCGTCAGTTCCTATGGGATAAGAAAAATACTTTTGGTGCTAGTGAAGCCTCAAATGCCGCTACTAAAATAAATTTATATTTAAAAATAATTTCGGAAGTATGTGCGGCTCACAACCTATTTTTGAATATTATCAAAAAGCAGATGTTATTACGTTAAATGATGAGATTACGGTTTGTATATTCATAAACATTTTCTCAGTCAGACGTCAAACTTAAACCCTGTGATATGTTAATTTTATCCAATGTCAGTTATTGGAGTATCATCTATTGGCCAGCTGTCGAGACTTCGACAACGACTTCAGAATCCTTGTATTCGTTTTAGGTACAACATCAGAAATTATGACCATATTTCAGAGTGCCTCTCTGATTCGGGTTGGCTCAAGCTGAAGGACCGATACAAAGTTCAGTTAACGACCTTTGTTTTTTTGCTAATCATAATCGAGCCACCCGTCATTGTTTAAGGTATTGAAGATATATAACGTCCCTCCCCAGGATAAAGTCCTGCGGAAAAGCGTTAATATTGTTTAGTAAGCACGCCAGTATCTAGCAAAAAATATTTTACAGTAATCAAAATGTACATACATAATATGCCAAAAGGGCATGTAGGATTTAAACAATTAAATTAATTATAAGTCCGAAATTCTTTGATGGGTAAGAAAGTGCGAATCATAACACCACTAATTATGAGCAAATGTTTTGACCGTCACCAAAATGTATATACAAAATGTGCTAAAAGTAGGATTTAAACAATTTAATTAATCCGAAATCCGAAATTCTCTGACGGGTCACTCCAGAATTTGCCGCTGAAGCTGGATGTGGATACCGTTTTAGCTGCTAAATTTAATAAATTTGTGGATGAAGGGCTTTCCTCGTTAGTATACAATTAAGAGGCACGCCAAAGGACGGCATATAGTCGACCGCACTCGACGCAACTATTGCTTTCATTAGAAGCGACGCGGAAACAGTTGAAAGCGGCGCTTCAAAACTTCACACGATAAAAACTTCCAGGCGGGAGGTTGCAGGAAACAAACGAGATTCGCTTCGCGCCAGAAGTCGCCGAGACGGATTTGGGAGGGGGCGGTTTCAGATTTGCGTCCCTCCCGCCGCTCCCGATCGAAGTTTCGAAATTTAAACCGAATTTGTTAAACGGTTCGTGTTTCCTTGACGGTCGCGACAATATAAAAGCCCGGAAAGTTCCGGAGAAGTTGCGGCTCTCGCATCAAATAAATCTAATGAGTCGGCCGGAATACACATATCGGGATTTGACGATAACGAGGCAAAAGTTTGACTGGCGCGGGGGAACGGGAAGCGAGGCGGTATCTCGAAAGTTTTCGAGGACGGTTTTGCTTCTCTGCGGAGCTGTCGTTTAGGACTAATATAGGTGACTATAGCTTGTTACTTTCGAGAAATCGATGAAATCGGATTTTTCGAAACTATACGCGCTTGGCAACGAAAGTCATATCTCGGCGACGGGAGGTCCTAGGGGACCCCCATTGGTACACAAATGATCAGTGTCGAAAAAAAAATTTTTTTCAATGTCTTTCAGTTCTCCGTTTATCTGCAGACCCTATAACTTTCGAACGGTTTAAGCTATGGCGTTCAAATTTGGATCGTTTCAAGAAGTCCACGAAACACATAGGCCAAGGGATTTTCGACTATTATTTGGACATTGCTATGAAACGCGATAAGTGCCCAAAATTTAAAGCTAGTGACTTCAAATTTGGCAAATAATTAGAATTTGGTCCCCTTACGATGCCTATTGAAATTGGGGGGCGGCAAGTATTAAAAAAACGCGTTTGCAAGGGTCCAGGAAAAAAATCATTTCTCGAAAACCGAAAAAAATCTTGAAAGGAAAGACGCAGAAGATTCGGCTATTAAAGAAAATTTTCTATAACTAAAAGACTATATTTAAGATGTCAGTTCCTTTTACATGACAATATAGTCCGCATAAATAGCTAAAACCTTTGTATTTAAAATTTTAATCTATTGTACAGGGTGTTATCGATATTTCAAGTTCAGATTTGGCAGATAAGTGGAAGTCCAGACCCATACTTAAATTATTAAAGCTGGAGGCAATTAGGAAAAGCAAAGTATTTTTTAAAAATTTTAGAAAAAAAATATTTGGTTTAAACAGTATCACAGGCTACGTCGATTCGCGATTTTCGATTGCCTTTTGGATATTGCTATGAAAGACGATAAGTGACCGAAATTTGAAGTAATCGACTTAATATTTTGCACATATAGCTTTGTCCAGTCACGGAACCTGTTGAAATTGGGGTGGTGGGGGCTCGGGGGAGTCAGGAAGTATTTAAAAATCGCGTGTGCGAGGGTGTCCAAAAAAGATCATTTTCCGAAAACCGTTTACGAGACCAAAAACCTTCTTGAACCAGATACGGCTGTATAAACTTTTATTCTTGACAATATTATTGGCTATAACTGAAAGACTATGGTTCCGATGTCACTTTCTTTTACATTGCGATATAGTCAGCATAGACGGCTAAAACTTTTGCATTTAAGGTTTTCACCTATTGTACAGGGTGTTCACGATATTCCGTGCTATATAAGAAATGTGTTAGTATTCCAAATTTGCAGATATCAGGTTTGAATTTAGCAGCAAAGTCTGTGTCCGCATTTAAACAGTAGGAATTGAATGCAATCCAATTTCACTAAATATTTTTTACAAATTTTTTACTTTTTTTTTGGTTATTTTGGCGTCCAGAAAAAAAAATGTTTTTTCAAAAACAATTAATCCGATCGACAAAATTCTTGAACCAAAAGACGCGGAATATTCGGTACTCTTACTTTGATTTTAAGCATTTTTTCGATTATTTGCATGGTCAACTAGAGACAAAAATATAAGACACCCTGAAAATTGTTCTTTTCCAGAGTAAATTCTTTGCCGTAAATCAAAATTAGTAGAATATATTGCTAATTGGTTAATTTACTTACATACGCTGTTCGAGACATTTGAAAAAATCCAAATGAAATGTAATGTAATCATGTAATATTACCACGTACTGCATGGTTTCGCAAAAACGAGTATTTTCTTGCAAACTACTTACTCTATTTTGAATTATATTTAAGGTGTGTCGTTTATGGGCAAAAACATCTAAAATATCATAAAAAATTAAGTTTTTGTGGATAAATTATTGGGGGCAAATGAAAAACCATTACAGATGCGATAATTTGATTTGAACAGTATCGCAAACCGTGTCGAAAGAGATTCTCAGCCCGAGATATTTGACAAAATATTGGAAATCGCTATTATTTAAAAAAAAATATTTACTAAAGTTTACTAAATATTCAGTAAGGGATAACCGTCGACATGATATTCGTGATTGAAAGAGATCAATGAAGGCAGTTCGAGATACATTGAGGGGACTAATATCTTTATCACTTCTTGTGTACTTACTGGATTCAAAAACATTGAGACATCATTATGTATATATTTAGTTGACGAATTGGATGGAACCAGATCTGTTTTTTGTAAGTTAGTGGAGAGGTTACTTGATATGTTTACAAAATTGGAGTTAAATTCTTCTGAAGTAAGCGAAGAATAATAATAAAATTTAGTTTTGGATACCTTTTTGGTTTATGTTTATTTTATTTTCTTAAGTTTGTTAATTATGTTAGACAATTCCATGTTTTCGATTAGGTTGCTAAATGCATAAAGGAAGTTTAGCATGGTTCTGAACTTAACTCGCTGGTGAACCATTTCCTATGGCTATTTTTTATGTAAACTATTTTCGTCTTTTTTGGAAGCACTCCCAAAACTTAGATACTAGACTAAACAATGTTAATGGCGTGTACGCGTCTACTAATCATCAACTTTTTAGGCGACATCGGACTAACGAATATAGTAATTGCCATTTGGTTCTTAACCAAACCAAAACTTATTGAACTTGTTTTTTGGGCATTTTCACGAAATTATTGGGTTTTTCGGAAAGTCATTTCGTTTTTTTTTGGGGAACATGAAAGACAGTTTTCGTATAATGAATAAATATTTTATTAAATTATATATTGGCCATTCTGGTCCAACACCTTTTGCCATCTTTCTGGCAGTAACATAATTCTCCTCTCATAAAAGTTTTGGTCCTTGCTGGCAAAAAACTGGTTCAGGTGGTTTTTGACATCTTCATTTGAGGTAAAGGTTTTGCCATCCAAAAAATTTTGCAGGGACCTGAACAAATAGTAGTCGGAAGGCGCCAGATCTGGAGAATATGGTGGATGTTGCAGTACGTCCCATTCAAGCTGTAAAAGTTTTTGGCGAGTGACCAAACTTGTGTGAGGTCTCGCATTATCCTGGTGGAACACTACACCCTTCCTGTTGATTAATTCGGGCCTCTTCTCTTTAAGTGAATCATTCAATTTGTCCAGTTGATGACAATAGACTTCTGAATTAATCGTTGTATTGTCCCGCAAAAGCTAAAAAAAAACGATTCCTTTGACATTCCACCAAACGGAGAGCATCACCTTTTTTTGGTGAATGTTGGTTTTGACACGCTTTGAGCCGGTTCATCTTTTCTGCTCCATGACCTTTTGCGTTTAACATTGTTGTATACAACCCATTTTTCGTAACCAGTAATAATCCGCTTCAAAAATGGATCATTTTCTTGACGTTTGAGGAGCAATTCAC